TATAGAAAATAACAGATAAAGTATAAAGTTTTACTAGAAAACAAAATGATTGAAATGCATTTAGGAGGTTTTTAGAGATTACACAAAAGAAATTTGAGATGTTTGAGATGAGGAAAAGTATTTTTAGTTTTAACAAGAAAATTACTTTTCACACAGACTATTCAAAACAAATATTCAATATATTCATGGATAAATCTTTATTTTATTTTATTAAAAATACTTTTGACATGCAATGTCAAGATAAAAACAACAATGTTTTCTTACTAGTGTAGCAGACTAGAGTAGACTAGTATGATATGTATTTCAATTTCTAAATTATTGTAACCAAGTAATTTAAAATTTAAATCAAATTTATTCACTTGGTATCTGTTCTTAAACTGCTGATAGACAGTCTAACTAAACATCATTGTTCATATGTCATAATGAATATTAAACATAGTGTTGAACTGGCACAGTCTGGATTCTTACAATCTAGTTAGTCATTTCTGAGTGTAAATTAACAAAAGTTCTACTACTTGTGGAGTGACTTGGTCACTGACTCTGACATGTCTATCTACATATTGGTAGCCAGGACCAGAATCTAACCAATGCTCCACTGCAGGTAAAGCATTGAATTGTTTCTGAGAAGTATCATTCACATTAATTTCCATGATGGCATTCATTGTGTCCTGTTGTAGTATGGGACATTTAGAGTCTTTCTCAATATTTATGGCTGAAAATCCCCTCTCAACACCAGCTGTGGTGACTGAAATGGTCATCATCATCTCAATGACAGGCTTTCCTCTCAATAAGTCACCATACACTTGGAGTTAGATGAAGTTCTAATTTTTAACACATGCAACCATTCCTCTAAGATGACTTTCCTCTGTTCTTCCTTGAAAAAGTGTAGTAAAGTGGTCTAGGATCCCTTCTAACTTCTAAGTTTCATAGTTCACTAATTCCTGAGTTTAATGTGGCCAAGTGCTGAAGTTAAAAATTTCAGCAAAATTACTGAATGGTGGGCTTCATAGTTTCCCAAATCTCACATGAAATAGACCATAGCTCCATCAATCATTTCAGTATATAGAGGTTCACAGTCACTTTCATCTGATTCTCCTTTGAGTTTTAAGTCTTTGAACTCCCCGTTTTTATGTTTCTTCAATAAAGACTTCAGACTTGGACCTGGTGTGGATTTTAGGTTTACCAGCTTAAGCAGAGCAGTTGTCAGTCTTGGGATTATTACAGTGATGAACATGTCTTTAGCTTGAAATGCTTGAGACAAGGTACTGAGAACAATGCTATAATTAATCATAAAGTGCAAAACTATGGTTTTTTGAATATATGTCAGGATTTCCTTGGCTTCCATCACTGTCTTTTCAACTACATTACCAGCAATATCTTCCAAGTGCATGATAATTGCTTTGAAATTCTGAGAAAGGGCTCTTAAGAGCATGTACCTGACTAGCAAGTCATCGGATTTGTTGTACGCCTCCATATGTAACAATTTATCAGATTTATCTACTATTCATGCAGGCATAAAACTGCTCTTTTTTTCATTGGAATAAGTCCCAAAAACAAACTGGTTTGAATCTTGATGGGGCAAGTGTTAATATGGGCCACAAATCAGGAGTGTGGGTCTTAGCACATGATGATGTCCCACACCCACTTGTCATTCACTGAATAAATCACAATCTGGAACTTGCTATTTTAGATGAGAAAAAAAAAAGCACTTTACTTGGATAAATTTGATGACATTCCCATACTTGTATTCCAATGCTACTACTACTCACAAAAGAGGTAGTATAGAACTATATAATATCACTGCAAGTTTGGATGATAGCAAGCAAGGATTTTGAAAAGATGTTAAAATTCCATCAGAAAAGTAGATCATGTGTAAAATGTAGTGCAGCAATCGAAGCATTAGTTTTACCCAAGTTGACTACCACAGCCAAAATACTGAGGTGCATGAATACAGACAATATTAAAATATTTACTTATTTGTTCAACACTGCATATTATATCATACAACTGCATATGTCATTACAAAAATTGGAGACCCTTTGTGAATTACAAAATATAAACAGTGTAAATGTGGGCAAAAATAACTTCAATGGCCATGGTTACAAAGATTTTATGATGCCCATAGCAACTGTTATTATGTCAGAAACCATGGAACAGGTTGCTGCTGCTAAATATTTCTCTGAACTTGCTGATAGTTTTACAATAATTGAGTAGAAAGAAGTGTATGTTTGAAAATGGTACACCAGTCACTAAATTATCACAGTTCATTCCTGTTATAAAGGTGATCAGATAGAAGTGTTTCTGTATATTTATCACAGACAGAGGAATCTGAGACAAGATCATACCATCCAAGTCATGCCAATGGCAATCAGAACACTGATAGTGATAAGGGTAACTCTGAGACTACTGCTACATCTAATGCCGGTACATCAACACAACACATAATGACAACAAGAGGAAAAGCTTGTAAAGTACGATGATGAGGAAGGTGTCACATTTTGTGATTATTGTCAAAAGTTTCCAAAACTTGCTGATACATAAAGTCAGTTATTCAAAGGAACTGGCTTCTGATTGTATATCACTGTTTGCTATTTTGGTGCCACTGCCAAATAAAATCTGTGTAAATCACTCCATGAAGCTTTCGTTTTGATGGGTTTAGTAGGCATATTGTGTAATATTAGTGCACTATTGTCTGCTAAGCCATGCTTTTACCAATTCTTGAACCTGCATGGTAAAAAACGTTAATTATTTATATAACTTTTACGGTAACTAATTGAAATTATGTTTGTTTGCAAGGATGTTTCAACTTTTCATATACTCAAACCATCAATAATATTTAATTGTATTTTCTATTGGTTTTGATGTTAAGCATCAAAATTTAAATTCTAGGAACATTGTTTTACTATAAATGAGTTTGTAGAAACTTTGTCAAAATGTATGGTATAAGATTGGCCTTGTCATCCTTCTCAGAAGCTTATTACAATGAAAATTTTGCATAACTGTGCCTATCAATTTGAGTATGATTGACAATGAAGGAGGTAGTTCCAGGGATAGAATGGGACTTGAAATATTGTTATTAATAAAGTGAAATTAACATCTGTTTTCTCCTATTTTTAGGAAGAATGTTTTCATGTATTTGTGGTCTTTTCTTTGATATCTTGTTAGGGGATAACTAAAGTACTCTTCTGTTTGAAAGAATTTGATTTCTTCTTTTTATGTTAGACATTAATAGCAAGCCTCTCCCATGAAGATAAACTACAAATGTTTAAACATTTTTTATTCCACAATTCATACATTTTCTATCTAGTGTCAACAATTGTGAATTCAGCAAAGTGATGTACACCACTTGTGCTCCAACGTCGACCTGAACAAATCTTCTTTCATCTGTTTCTATGATTTGGTGACTCCATGGTGATGGACATCCCCAAAAAAACTTAGATTTATTTGGGCAATATTATTATTATTTGAGATGTGGGTGGAGAGTATTTTTAAAAGGTGGCAATCTTGTCTGTACTTCAAGCCTAGTGTTTTGATGTCTTAATACTGATTTTAGTTGATGCAAGTTACATTTTTGTTTATCAACTTTTTTCTTTACACCAGATGTTCTCAAGTTGTAGATTACTAAGGAGTTCAGAATATACATTAAACTTCCAAGAATGTTACAATAAACTTCCAAGAATGTTTTTTTTTTCTTTTAGTTTGTTTCTGTTTTTTATGAAATTCATACAGGAACTATTTGTAAATAGCCATCCTTAGTTTTGAACTGATGGACTAGAGGGAAGATGCTAGGCAGCAGTAACAACTTCCAACTCATGGGCTATTCTTGTCTGACTAAATAGTGGGTTTCTTATAGTATACCCACAGCCTCCAAAGTGTGGAACACATGCTTCTAGCAATAAGACTTGAATACTGAATGTTGTGATTCACAATCCAGGCGCACTGACTACTAGGCCATTCCCAGTCCATCTTGTTAATATTTTGAATGATTTATGTTTGGGGATTTTAAAGTTATGAACTAATTTAAAAATATACAGTATGTGTAGAACTCTGTTAAAGTACTAGCCTTTTTTAAAGTGGCAAATGCTCTCAGTTTTGAGTTTTTTGTTGCCTGACAAATGATGGGTCTAGATTCTTCATCTGCACTAAAGGAATCAGGAATTGAAAAAGTTTGAGAACTGATACTCCACATGCATTGCCTATAAAGAACTTTTAAAATATTGTGAATCAATTATCTAATTAATAACTATCTTAATGTTTATGTTGTAATTAAAAGTGTAGAGCCCCTGAATAAAAACACCTTCTGCATCTTAAGAGTTTCAGTTTATAAAATTTTATACACTTCGTGTTCCCCCAAAACATAATCAGTTTCTGTATGTTTTCATTTCTGTGATCTCCTTGTTAAATGAAATATTTCATTTGTTATATTTCGATTGTCACATTTTCAGATTGTGGTATTTTTTAATTGTTCTTATCATAATAAGCTTTATTTGTAGTGAAATAGCAAAAGAACAAAGTTTTAAGTCAAAGTATCTTCTAAAAGTTAGTCTAGTTCACTACTTCTGAAAACTTGTAGAAAGTTTCCTGGTTTCATGGCTAGTGAAGTGACAGTGACTCTTGAAAACTTGTAGAAAGTTTCCTGGTTTCATGGATAGTGAAGTGACGGTGACTCTTGAAAACTTGTAGAAAGTTTCCTGGTTTCATGGATAGTGAAGTAACAGTGACTCTTGCCTTTTGTCAGCAGTCCCTAGTGTTTTATTTCTTAAACCTTGTGAAAAAAAGCAAAATGTATGATGATTTATATATTGTATATTTTCATCATATTTGCTTATGTGTAAATAGAAATATTCATGCATGTATAAAATTTAATTGAAAAGTGTTTAGGTAACACCTTCATTGATTATTGATATGGTAGCACACCAATACTAATGAAGAAATCACACCTTGCCAGCTCAGATGTTATATACCGTAAGAGTTTACAGTGTAGCTAACATATTCATTTTGGATTAAATGTTCATTGTAGTTATTGATAGATAATAATCTGATGTTTATGTAATTTAATTATTTTTTTTATCCTTTGCAGCACTGCCAAAGTCTACCACCAGCTCTAGTACATTTAATACAAATAATTTGGTGAGTAATATTTCATCCTTTGTTCTTCTAAGATTATAAAAATTTTCAATCAAGAATCTAGTATATAGAAAGGAAAAAAATAGCATTTAATAATACACATTTTAATATTTTATAATTTAGCTCATTCTACTTTATTTTAGTATTTGTGTCTATGATTTGGTTATTTGTAGAAAAATCAAAATATCTCATGGGCTCAAAAATAAATTTCAAAATGATAAATTTTGTAAAGACATTAATTGTTTAGATTACACAAAAATTTAAATATAGTTTAAGTAAGGCCTTCTTACTCGATGTGTTATTTGCTTTTCATTAAAATTTCAGATAAATCACTGAAGCCTCTAATAATTACATATAACCCTTTACTGTTTTCGAATGTGCAATTCTATGTTAAGTGTAAGTGATACATGACATATACATATGGGGAGTACAATTATAACAGCAGTAAAGTTAAAGCAGTAATAGTTTCCCTTTACTTCAATACAGTTTTATTGATTCAATTTCATTGTGCTATATTATATGAGTAAATCAAGTTTTTATGGCTATTAGTAAGATTGCAAGCATTCCTAAACCACTCACATGGTGGTTTGATGTCCATTTTGTAGCATATATGTATAAAATGATGTCAAGAGTCTTCTAAAAGTCATATCTATGATTCCAGAAGCTGTTTTGGAGGTAAAAATTCCCACAAACTGTAGTTGATTCTTAGCCAGCACCTTTTAGTGTTTTTCTTGTGCCTTCTTTCAACTAGGACTTTGATTTCAATATGTCTTTTCTAATTAATTTCAGAAGTTTTCTTTTTTTATTCTTTTACTTTCAAATATATATTGGTGTCTTTTATTGTGTTAGTTTCTGTTTCACTAACTCCTATTTTTAATAGTGTCGTTTGAGGTTTATATAAATAATGATGTGCTATTGGAAGTTGACCCCTGAAAACACTTTCAAGTTAATATGTTACCTTCCATGTGGGAAGAATAATAACTTCGCATATCTTTTTCTCTATAACTACTGTTTGAACAATCTTAATTTTCATTTGTGAAAGATAATTGACTCAAATATCATCAATCGTCTTTTACCCAGCTAATGCTGTGTCATAGTACATCCACCTTCTTTCAACCAGCTGATGCTGTGTCATATTACATCCACCTTCTTTCAACCAGCTGATGCTGTGTCATATTACATCCACCTTCTTTCAACCAGCTGATGCTGTGTCATATTACATCCACCTTCTTTTAACCAGCTGATGCTGTGTCATAGTACATCCATCTTTTAACCAGCTGATGCTGTGTTATAGTACATCCACCTTCTTTTAACCAGCTGACACATTTATTAGATCAATAAACTGTTGACACATTTATTAGATCAGTAAACTGTTGACACGTTTGTTAGATCAGTAAACTGTTGACACGTTTATTAGACATGTGAGAGGTATTTCTGAGTATTCATCCTTGCTATTTTGAACCAATATTACCAGTAGTTAAATGTTCAAGTGGTATAAGGGAGTAGGGCAATATAGGAAAAAACATATGCAAATAATTTTCTCTGCAATACTTTTGCCTTTCCTTTTTTGTGTTCATTAATTTTTGACAAATTGCATTATTATAATGTGTAAACAGTGTGGTCTGTAAATATCATAAACTAAATCATTCTGTAATGCAGATTTCTTTAGTTATGAATTACTAAAATAAAAGTAAATGTGACTGTTAAATCTTAAAAATTCTTTAGCAATAGTAATTCAGAAATATTAATTTATAGAAATCTGACTGTAATTTTAGTTCTAGGATTACTGATGGAGTCCATCATTTTTTAAACATATTTCTATAAGCTATTAATTCAAGAAATTGCATTATATTTTACATTACCAGTAGTTTATGCTAATTTCTTTCATATATCTTGTTCTCAAACAGTATTTAGAAATTTTGCATTTGAAGGTTTAAATAGGGGTGTGCCAGTTCAATTCTCTGTGGGTACTTAACTAATTCTCTGGTAGTATGAATAATACAAGTTTACTATTGTAAAAGGAACTAACATTTAAGAACTGAATTTGACATCCTGTTCCCGAAAGAATGTGATTAGCTGACCTTGAAACATTAAGTTTTGTACAAATCTGTTACCATTTCTTAACGAGTATTAAAACTGTATTAAGTTTTGTACAAATCTGTTACCATTTCTTAACGAGTATTAAAACTGTATTAAGTTTAAGTCGCTCCAAGTCACTCTTTGCATAAAATCTGATAAAACTGACATTAGTCTTAATTATTTGGAGGAGTTTAGGATACTGTGGTTTATAAGGATATCATGTAAAGTTTTCTGAAGTTAAATCTTTTTGTAATGCTAATTTTGTGAAGCTGGTATTTTGCTTGTTGTTATAGATCTTTATTTTTTTATCTTTCATGGTTGTTTGTTTTCAGTTTTTCATTGTTGAATTTTAATGAATGGAAAAGTATATCAGTTATTTATTATGTATTTTATCTTTGTTTTGTATTGGCTTTTTAAAACAGATTGCCTGAAGTTTTGACACTAGGTTTGAGTACAAAAGCTTTATGAGCTCACAAGTGATGGCGATGAAATTTTAAGTGTTTCTTCTTATTTGTCATGTTTCTATACAGAAAAGTAATTAATTTCTTATGTTGTAGTATACAAATATCTAAAAATAGTAGGTATCCCTGATGATAATCATTATACTGAAATACATATTTTGCCTAGAGACAGAGGTAAGGGTAAGCAAATTTCATTTAGAGAAGTAGTTCATACAGTTAGTTTTGTATAGTTCTAATCTTGTTTTAGCAACATTAAAAGCCATTATAACTGTTGTAGATGTTAATAAATAGACAACATCAAGAGGTGTCATTCACTCCTATTTTCAATTGATATTGCTGAAATATTTTACAAACTCATAACTATTAGAAACCTGGTAAGGTTATTTTTGGAAATTTTTGTAATATAATAGCTTGGTGCTTTATTAAATTATAAGTGTGAGAGTTGATAAAACTGACTGTGTGGCAGAGGGAAATATTTTGATAAATGTGTTATATTTTGATTCCACTAGAGTGCTGTTTCCTTTCATTCAAGTGATGTATTTCGGTTTTGGTATATTATTGTATTGATTATTTAAATTTTTAGTAAAACTGAATATTGTACATATTTAAAAACTAAATTGATGAATTTCATCAATAGAAACCAGTTCCATCACAGAAAAGTGGATTTTTTTCTGACTTGGAAACAATATTTGGGGAAGGAAAGGAGAGCACAAAATATTCTACAAAATCACATCTGTCAAATGTACAAAATAGAAAAGTTCCTTTTCATCCAGCCAAACCAGTAATCCGTCACTCGAGTAAAAGGCCTGCCCCTATTCCTCTTTCAGCAAAAACTACTACTGGTGATGTCTTTAATTCCAGCACATCCGCTACTGCTCCAAGTGAACCTCTCCTTATTGATTTTGATGCTACTCCAAGCTCGCTTACTCCTTCTTCTGTTTCTTTCTGTAGTTCAAGCATGAGCCAAAAGTCACAACAATTTGATGTTATTAAGCAAAAGCAAAATAAAAGTGAAGAAAATTTGTTAAGTATAGATGATATCTTCAGTCTTAATGATCATGTTCAGTTTCAAGAGAGTAACCTACACTTTAGTGGATCAGCTAAGTCAGATAATTTTCTTACTTCAAATAACTGTTTTGGTCCAGACAAATTTAATTATTTCCAAAATGTCAGTGATGAGTCCACGAAATCAACTGGATGGATGGTAATTCAGGATAAGACATCTTCAAGGCATAGCGGAAGTACATGCACTGAACTAATTCAGGATAAGCCATCGTCAAGGCATAGCAGAAGTACATGTACTGAACTTGTAAATTGTTTTTCTCAATCAGTTATTCCTGAGACTGCAACAAGTGAACTTAAGGTTCCAGTATGTTATAATAGCTCATGTCAATCTACTTGGCTAGCTCATCAGGTGACTTCTACCTACACCACTACTGCTTCTAACATACTTGCAAATGTGAATGCTCAAGAAGAAAGGTAACTTAAAAAGAGAGCAAAATTAATTTAGCTAATTTCTTGTTTTTTTAATAGATGTATAAAGCATTTAAATTTACAAAGAGAAACAATATTATTTGACATTATATGTAGAATCTATGGGCAAAATAGATGTGTGAATGAGAAATAAATGTTCAACTAATTGAAGTAATTCAAGTAATCGAATACTCAAGAAGAATAACTGTAATAATTATATCATGTAAAAGTGATATTTAACAAGACCATTTCCATATTTCACAAAATATTAAGAAATAAGGATTATTATATTATTCTTGTATTTTTCTCTTGTGAATCAAATGCTTGATTAGACATCATTTTACACATTAAATTATTTACAGTTTGTTGCAAATTATATATGTTCATATTATAAGGTTGTGACAATCAGATACTAAATATGAATTATCTTAATTATATTAATTAGTATGTAGTAATAAATAAGATAGTAGCTAGTAATCAGATGTACATGGAGTTGATCAAATTCACCAACCCCTTATTGGAGAGGTAATGATTATAATTCTGAATTTACTATGTGTTTATAAACAAAATGTACAAGTCTGTGTTGCATATGTTTTTGAACTGCTGACATCAGTCTGATTCAGACTGTGACAAGTTGAAGTGGAAGGTGATGCTCATGTAAAGATGAAAGATGCTGATGTTTGGTTTACATTAAATTCAGGATGCACCTTGTGTATCCACAGGTTCTCTTTGGTGCAGAGCATTTTTTCATTGGCCGCACTTCCCCAGATACCATAGTCATTGAGTGTAATTCTAATATCACGGTCTTGCAAACAGTGATGAAGAATGGACGACTGATTATATAATGTACTTTGCTCATGCTCTTAGATTCTTGAGCTTAAACAATGAATTGTAGAGCCTATATAGCCATGTGAAGATTAAAAATACTTTTGTCTGTCATACAGTTTACATATTACATTTACATAACTTCCAGAACCTCCAAAATGCATATTTAGTTTTTTCAGTATCCCTCTTCTATCTGGTATTTACTCTCCTCTACCATAAATTGTTGTTATATCAGTAAAGTAGGGTAGAATGAACAGCTCATGACATCGAATACGTAATATCATGTTGAATGGCACCATGTAAAAATCTATGGCATGTACATTTTGACCTCCACCCTTGCACATAGGATTAATAATTAGATTAAGATAACTATACACAGTTATGAAGAGAAAGAATAGAACTATCTAAAAAAAACTAATTCCTAACACTTAAAAGCCTTATTTTTTTTATTGCACTTTAAATGAAAGAAGTTTCAAACACTTTGCTTTCAAAAGTTCTCTAAATTTTATTTTAAATTCAAGTTCAAATATTTTGCATAATGCAGTACTTACTGTAAGTAAAAACTATAGGTATAATAAAGATACGTGGTTGTACAAGCTTACAAAACACTAGACTGACAGATATAAACTTAAAAACTACACAGAAGTAAACCATATATTTTATCCTTCCACCAGCATGAGTCACAGTCGTATAGAGCCATGAAAGAACGGAAGGTAGCTGGTACATTTAGGCTAAGAGCTGGAACCAGTGTTCGTTATATATTGTAAGCATATGCAGCAATATGGCAACTGGTTGCTCTCAAATTAGCCAGTTGGTAATAATTTCATGTTGAAGACATAAGCCTATAATTTGAACAGTACCATGCTGAAATGTATGGCAGGAGTACAAGTACCGACAGCTGCTTAAAAAAGTTCTGGGGAGAAAAATAGTATTCATGGGAGTTTGTTATTATGTTAATATTTTGTTACCCACTGTTGGGCATATTCCTCCCACCAATGAAAACAATGGTTATATTAGTTTTTTATTTTGTTTTCATATGTTTTATTTGAGAAAATATTACACACAAGTATTTAAAAGAAAAACATCTTTTATTGCCATAAAATATATACAGAGCACACGTTTATCTCATAATGTGGATTAAATGATTTACTGTAATGTTTACTAAAACCTATATATCCAATTATTCATTACAAATTCTCCAACCTGTATATTTACCTGGTATGAGACCTTTTGGCCAGGGATGCTATTGACAAGGTTTCTCACCATTCTGTGGGATTTTATACCTGTGTGTTTAGCATTCCTCAGTACACCGGTATCTGATTATCATTCCTTACCGTTTCCATCAGTTTCTCGACCTTCCTTAGTTTGCCATGAGGAGTTTTCTCACCCTCTGATGGTCTGGGACTCTGAATGACCAAGGTCGATGTCTCTGATGCTTATCTTCTCGTTCCTATCTACTTAGCATCCAGACTGTCTATGGTCTGTACATCACAGTCAAGTTTATCATTTCCGAGCCCTTCCTTTGGCCTGGCATTGGCTCCATGTGTTTCTTTTTGTTGCATAGTGCATGCCTTTAATTGTCAAATTCACATGAATGAATGAATGAAGGATGACTAACTTCTTTTATCTTCATCCCATCCAGACTCTTTTAACCATACTCATCTCCTTTTTTAGATTGACTAGTTAAGCCGGAGAAATCTCATTTTACACCCACTCACTATCCGGTGGCCCCCGATGGGACAGCAATAAGTCTTCGGATTTCCAATGCTATAATCAGTTGTTCAATTCTTCGCAGTGAACACAGCAGATAGCCTGATGTGGCTTTGCCATAAAAACACACACACACTATCTTGCAGCATTGTAATCCAACATGTTTTAATCTTTGGATTTTAGAAGTTCACCTGCCATATTATTCATTCACAGTTCTCACAGATGGTGAACTTAGTACCATACAAGTAGTGTTAGTAATGTTTGACATATACCAAAGCTGCAAATAATTACTTTCTTTGTCCTGCAGTGCCATCATTTAGAAAGATTAACATATGACTAGCATTCACCATAACATACCCTTAACTGTCAACATCTATTAGTGGGTCAGCAGTAAGTTTACATGCTTATAACACAAAAATCAAGGGTTTTAATTCCCTACAATTGACACTGCAGGTAGTTCAATGTGGCTTTGCACTAAAACAAACAATTTGTGACAACATTATTCTAATTCCACTATTAATGTAACTAGTATCCATCTAGGGTTAGCTGGTTACAAAACAATAATACTAACCCTAGAAAGCTACAGACTTACCTGAACCCAGTCTTTAACCACTACTGTCTATATGGTTTCAGTGGACAATTCACCTCTGCCATACTCCATCTGAGTATGCAAAAGTGCAAACTTTCCTGGTTTTATTTTCAGCCTTATTTTTTATTGCTGAAACCCAAATCTCAGTCTATCAGCAGCAAATTGAACTGTTTGGTTAAACATCTAAATTCATCCACATTATGAAGCATGTTTCTCAACTTAGTTCTCTTATTGTGAGTTCCATCAGCCTTTTAAATGATGTGACATGAAATTCGCCCAAGCTTTCTTGAGCAGTGAAAGAAGTCTTTGGTTTGCTTTCTGTATACAGTTCAACTTTAGCCTAGTGGTTAAATTTTTGGGCTGTGTATTGAATGTTCCAAGCTTCAAGCAATGATGAGCAATAGATATCACATACTTTGCCATTAAGGTTGACAATACCTGTTCATGAGTGTCCAGACATTTGTCCATCAAATTAGTATGTTAACTCTCTCTTGTAAGTTAAAGTAAACCTCAGATTAAAAGTGAATACCAAGTTTTTTAACATTACTGTGGTTGCTTTAAAGTAAGTTCAACTTTAAACAATGGTTTGAACATTATCCAAACATTAAATTTAACAGCGTGAACCTTCTTACAAACATTATTCACTTTGGAAAATTAAAAGTAAAAGTTTAAAATAAAACAAAATCTACTCACTCTAGATTCTACAAGCAAGTATAAAAA